ATTTTAATAGTACATTATCAGCACTGTTAACTTGCTTGTTTTTAGCAAGTTCGATTTTGACAGATTTTTGTAAAGTACAAATACGAAATAAAAAAATCAAGGCGAAAGAAATCACAAAAACTCATGAATATTAATCTTTCGTTATTACATAAAAATTCAGCACAAAATTTAGATATATTGCTTCTACTTTGTATTAACGTAAGGCATTAAGTTTTGGTTGAAGGTTAGGAGAGCATCGTTGTTGGATTAGTCACGGACCGGCAATTCTGACAATACACCAGAAATTCATGTCGATTCAACCATATGCATATTTTGAAATTTTCAGACAAATTTTCCGAACAATTTTACACAAAAATATATAAATATCTGCCTATTGAAAAAACATTTTTTTTTTGTATGTCATTTATCAGAAATAATACAGATCGGAGTCAATTTTAAGCTCGGATACTTACGTAACTGATTTTTGGATAACGATAATAAGTTGTATTGAAAAAAACTTTTCACGTGTTACAGTAATTAGCATATATTTTATTAATTGATGCACTCGTGATATACAAAGCCACATAGTTATAAAAGGCCAAAACTCATTTATTCATTTATCTTCACATGTGATTATAACTAGGGATGTTATCCTTCTCCAACTGGTTAGTCTGTGCTTAAAAACTTATTAGAACACTATCTCAAATTATATACGTGAAACTGGTGAACTCGGTTTATATAAATGTACTAATAATTATGCTTGCTTGAACAAGTTAATAAACCTGCTTTGCTATCGCTTTTAATAGAGCAAATACAGTACTTTTATATTTGTAAAATATACATTTTATGCATTTTATTCGATTTCGAACTCGATTTGAGCATACGGAGTTTAAATAACAAAAATCACATGATCGCATAAACTCGAGTTTAACTAGTTCGGGTTTTTAACAGGTCGAACAGAGTTCGGGCAAATAGGATAACACCCCTAATCATAATCACCTGTGCGCGTTATGCAATGTAAAATTAATCACCAAAGTGACTATTAAAAATGATCTATAATTGAATTATCAATAGCATACGCAAAACATTAAGTTTTGATAATGAGTGAATGCTCAATTAATCATCTTTCTAACATTATGATTTCATAAATAATATTCAAACCATTTTATCAAAAATCTTTATCGCAATGATTAAAAAAACGGAATTGAAAATCTTACTGAATTCAATAAAGCTTTTTTGTGCACCTATTATGATTCTATTAATGACTTTATTTGACTAATGACTTTGGGTTTTAATGATCATAACCCCTAACGTTAACGCTAATTTAAAATTAAGACAAGTTTTAGTCATGTTACAAATAATCTTAATTGACTAGATTTGACTAGATTTGAACACTACATGGGATCATGTCCAATCGATTCCTTGCTAAAGAGCTTGGAATGTTGCCTTTCAAGATCTTCAGCTGCTTTTTTTAAGTAACTTATATATTCGGCGGTCGGTTTTGCAGGAACACCATCACTCTGTATGATAACTTCATTGATTTTGATACGATAATTTGTTAAAAAGTCGTCAAATTCAATAAAACTGCGATCAAAATCTTCTAGCATCTTTTTGATAAAGTTTACTTGCTCAAGTTCTTCTTCTATCTCATGTAACGTAGGATTCGTGATATTAAACCATTTAGTAAGCCATTTACCAATCAAAGAAGATAGCCACTGTTCTTTCAAAGAATCTTCAGCCTCACGTTTAACTTCAATAAGGTTCTTTCGTGTACTTATTGCATTTTTTTGAACATGATCAATCGCATAACCAACACGTTTGAATTGATCATGAAAATCATTTATCTGATTATCTAAAGATTTGAGGCGTTTATGAATAGAGATAGAAACTTCATCATATAAACTTCGATCATGTTTAGAGAAATGAAGTTTTTCAAATTCTTGAGCTATAGCTTTCACTTCTTCTATAAGAAGCCAAAAGAACCATTCAGCTTTATGTTGAAATTTTCTGAGTTCTTCAACTGTATTATGAATATTTTGGTCTAACTCTTCGAGATCTATCGAAATTGGTTTGGATTGATCAATAATGACACGGCTTTTTTCCATGACGACTCTGAGATTACGAACAACAAAACGAAGTTCGTTCAACTCATCAGCTGCTGAAAATTAAATGAATGAATTAATCAGTCAATTAAAATTACATAAGAAAAACATTGATTAATGATAGCATTAATTAAAGGAATAAATGCCTGGAATTTTAGGTAAAGAAAACTTCTCAGAACTATTATTATCCATCTTTACAACAGGAATAACATCATCATTGGGATTAAAAGAGTTATTGGATTTAAAATATTGATTGGATTGAAAATCGGTATTAAGTTGAGAACCGTCATTAAGTTGAGAACCGTCGTTAGGTTGAAAACGGTCATTGGGTTGAGAAGCTTTATCATTAAAAAATACCTAATAATACCGAATTTATTTATTTAAAAATCGATCAATTATTTTTATTCAAGAAAGAGAGATCAATTAATCGGTTCTTACCTGAAAGTATAAAAAAATCAATCCAATCAAAAAAGTCAATACTAGCAAAATTTCAATTACTAGTAAAAATTTTCGACTAAAAGGATTCTCATTTAAAGATAGACGAAAATTTGGATAGGATGAATGATTATCATGAACTGGACGACGCTGCCTAATCGTAGAGGTACCTATTACATATTAAAGGTATGTATTTCGGGTTTAAAGACGTCGCAAAATTTTATCAGATAATGTTCATATTAGTCGAGAAAATTATCAGTACCACTCATGTCTTCACTAGAATCGTATTGATCTGTTTCAATAGATTTGGATGGAAAATTCACAAAGTCCTCGTTTTCCAAGTGCATGATTCAGAAAATGGTTAACTAGAATCTTAACTGCGGATGGATTCATGCCTTCTAAAAAAGGTGTAATCGATTTGTACAACCTGTTCCGCTATCTCCGTATCGTGAACGATTTACTTTAATACTAAATAACTTATGTAATTCTCATTCTAAACGCAGATACATAAATCTACTCGATTATAGATAAGGGCAATAGTGGTTGCATAAGTATATTCTATTAGAGGTGAAGACGGCGCGGTTACATAAGCATATTCCGAATTATTCTCAATCTCATTTGAAACAGGTTTACAAGAAAGCATATGATTTAATCGAACATTTATTTTGTTTCAGTGATATTTTAAATAATTTACTGATTAAATCCGAATTTTAAATAATTATATAGAATTTCACGAAGAATAATATGGAAAGATTTATTCATTATGGTTTACACTTACAAGTCTTTAAAGGCCTTGTTTGTAATCCGTACCTGATACACATAACAAATATATACATACGTACGTACGTACGTACGTACGTTTACCAATGATATAGAATACGTCATGGGAATCTCTCGATCTTTTTTTACTGGTGTCACTCATAAAAGGAAATGATTGACTGAATCAATTCATCTATAAAGGACAATTCTAGAATAGAGATTGTGTGTATTTCTGCAACATCAATCATACTATCAGAAATTCTTAAAATTTTATCGAACACAAAAAAAAAAACACAAATTAATAATCATTTGAAACCAACAAATACTGAAATAAACATTTCTGAAGATAAAGTTATGAAAAATAATAATGTGAGAAAATATACTTACTATCAACTTATGATCTTTTTACTGCGGCTAACTTAATATAAAACAAAATCAGAAAACAAGTAACTACAACAACTTAAAAAGATTCAAAAAACAACCTCGATCTGTTTTTTCATTACGAACTTTCAGCACCGTGGTCGTTGTCATTGCTATTATTACATTATGTTATAATGTGGACTTGTTAAATATAACTTCAAGCAAGCATTTCGGACGATATCTCTTGCCGGTAAAGATTTTTGTTCATGGCTCACTATTTTAAACTTCAAGTGCACTTTCTTAACTTTCGACCATTATTGTCATATACAGGCCGTCGACCTGCCCATTTTCAGAAACCTCGTGGAGCTCACTAGTTTGATTTCCGGACAACTTGCTAGACTTAGTATTACCGGTATAGAATATTAATTTTAAATTTTAATTTATCAAATATTTTTAATAAAGGCAAACATCTTTGACAACCTTTCCATATATCGAATTAGCACCATCTGAGATTATAAAATGTAATGTCAAGAGTAGATCTCTTGCCAATAGAGTAACTCAAAATCCGCTATTATTTAACAACTCAACCGAAGTGGTGCAATACTCAGCTGAAGTGGTTCAATTTCTTAACGATCTTGGTGATAAAACATTCAATCTAGGTCAAACTCTCGAAAGAATGTATCCTACAGGAGAATTTGTTCTTAAAAAGCTTGGAATGGAATTAAGTTTTATCATTGACAAGATTCAACCAAATCAAGCTCTTACACGGAAAAATGTGATATTCTTTGAGAGACGTTATAGAATGATTTTACACATTATTACCATCTTGCGAGATCGATTTGAAAAAGTTATGAATGATCTTGATGAAGTTTATTACGTCTATAGTGGAAGGAAATATCAACTAAAAAACGGAATGAAGGATGTAGAAGTTTTCTTCCACCGCAATTTTCCGATATTGGATCCACTATATGATACGGAACGAATAACACGTGATCTTACTTATTTGAAACGGATCATGGGGAAAATTCCTGACACTCGGAATCAGATTAGTTACCTTTTATTTGAATTTAATCAACATCGACAGGTGTTGATTTGGTATTGTGACGAATGGTTTCAATTACAAAGACGAAAACTGGTTACTCTTGAAGATATTGAGGATTTAATGTTTATGTCAAATAGATTAATTAGTATTGCTGAAATTTTTAAAAGGAAAATTGATGAAAATGTTGATATAATAATCCGTATACCTGATCATATTCAACCATAGTGTATAGATGATTGTATAGTTGATTATTAATGTTCTCTATTCATTTTGGAAATTATCGCAAATGTATGGTTAACGTATTCTCGTAACTTAACATATTCAAATTGCGCTAGTTTTTAACATAATTATAGAGTATTAATTGTGATCAAGATATCTGATATATACACATTTTGTAAATATCTTTATACTTTAGTTTTTCATAATAAGCTTAAGTTCTTATTTCTCATAATAAAACATCTTTAGCATTAATGTAATTATCGGTTACCGATGGATACCTTTATGAATCATAATTACTGCGTATATATTACTGTAATAATTTATTCCTACTTATTTCAATAATATTCTAAATTTAAAATTTCTAACCTGCAATATGAACGCAAAATGTATAAAATTATAATAATGAAACGTTTTATTATTATTATTATTATTAAATGAATCTGGTGAAGCATTAATTTCTTTGGCACGTTGTTATTCTCCAACAAAAAAAAAATTCTGATTTATCAGTCTATGTAGATCTGCATGACATAAATTTGTTTTCATTAAATCTTAATGGTTATGTTCAAAAATTGCAAAATTCACACTATAGTTGTTAGGAGAAACCTAGAAGTTTCGCCATGGCGAAAGGAGAAATCTAATTTCTACTTTCGTCAAAAAAAAATTAAAAAGACGAAATGGCGAAACCTAGCGAAATTGGCGGAACCTGGCGAAACTAGCAAAAGGTGGCGAAATTAATAAAAGTGGATGATTAAAAAGTTAATTAAAGTATGTTAACGTTTTTATATAATGATTAATTACTTTGTTCCTATTTGTCTGTTTTTAAGTTGTTATTAAATATATATCAAAAATCATGCAAATTAAAATTATATAATTAATATTTTACATTATTATAATTATTTTTTGCAATTAGAATTTTAATAATTATTTTATAAAATATTATGAATTTTACTAAAACGCTCCTATGGTTTTTTACACCTATGTATACATTATCTCAAAAACTGGCTAATTAATCAGTGCGAGGTGTTCTAAGTAAAAATGTTCTACGCCCCAAAAACACTTCTCAAACTCAAATTCTAACCTTAATAATGAAAAAATTGGTATTAAAAATTTTATATACAAAACTTACAAAAATTTAGAAAATTTTAAAAAACATAATAAAAACTTATAATGTGTGCAAAACCATCATAGGTGCATTTTGTTTTTTTTTTCTTTTTTTTTAAACTAGCCTCTTTGGGGCTTAGGTTTTATTCGAGTATTGTTAAGTGTGAGGCGCATGGACGAAGCCTTAAAGGAACCCTTTATATTAGATAGTACATACTAACCATATTTACATTTTTGGTGTTTACAACTTATATTATAGGTTCTATACTAGATGCCATGTCTGTAACCTAAATTATGGGTGTTACTTATTTAAATCCTCTGTAATGCAACTCTACTTGTATTACTGATACATTTTCATTACATATCTGTCAGTCAAGAAGTTCTAGATACTGACCATTTCCTTTAGGATTAATTTATTTTATATACATTGTTGCTAGAGTTTTATATACTTACAATCCAGTTAGTCTAGACTTTAGTAATTTATGCTGAGTCTAAAACAAGTACTTGCAGTCTTTTCTCTCTACTACTATTACCTACTTCTGTTCTTGTAGAATTCATCCAAACCTTAGTATCTACTTTATTGATTATTACCAGTATTTAAGTTCTGTCAGTACTAGGATTGGGCACAGAGCACAAGGCATGCCTTCTGGGCATGCTCCTAGGCATGCCCTTTTTCAAAAAATTTATATATATAAAAAGTTGTTATATAAAAAATTTTGGGGGCATGCCCAAAAATTTTCCTGTACCTTCAACCCTAGTCAGTACTCTAAATTTCTAGTTTAGATATTTCAGAAGAAATTAGTATATGTCTTCTGATATTTTAATTGAATTTTTTATTTCTAGTTATCTTATAGCCTGGTTGGTGTGGTGTCTTGCCAAACACCCAGTTTTCATTTAATTTGCTACTAGTATTTAGATCCTGATAATAATTTTTTTATATAGTATTATTGAAGATCTGTGCTATCTTTTTACTTGAAATTTGTCAAGCAAACTTCTGTATGTCTAAGCTCTTAGATCTATTTGGCTGTTTTATTTAGGTTTTGTATAATTCATATATTTTATTATTGTTTCACAGCCTTCTAATACAAGTTAGTATAGCTAAAGTTAGAGGTGTCAACTCATCAGATTATATACAGTATACTATAAAACTTTCATAATTTAAATTTTATCACTAACAAGATCTGAACTCTTGTTTTGCTGCTTGAGGGTGTGACAATATATTATTTATACTATGTCATCGCACCCTTACTATAGATATAATATATAATAATAAATATTATATAAGTAAAAAAATAGTAATAAAGAAAAAACAAATATTAAAAAATAAAATAGAATAAATTAAACAAAAAAAAAATAAATATAATTGAATATTATTAATCTAATTAAAATTTTTATTAAAAATAAAAAATAAAAAAATAAAATTCATATAACAATACAATCAACCCTCTATAGTCAACTCCTCTATAGTCACAAAACTAGTATAATTAAAATTTATTTTTACTAATTATTTATAGCTATATAAAAAATATCTCTATATTAGTCGCACCTCTTTATAATCACAGATTTTGCATTTCAAAAGTGTAACTATAGAAAGGTTTGACTATATATATATATAAAAACAAACAATAAATAAATATATTAAATGAATAAAACTCTTCTGCTGATCTTTTGTATACAAATTCACAGAAACAAAACATCAACAAAAATACATAAATACTAGTAAAAAACAAAACTTGCAATTCTAAAAAAAGAAAAGATCTCTTATGAAACTAGAGTAAAAAGAGTGAAAGTAGCAGAGATATAGAAGAAACAATAGAAATATTGATAATTTTGTTCTTTACAAGTTATTTAGGGAATTGACCTTGACTATATAATGCAGATTAGTTTTTGTTATACAAGATATATAATATATAATGAAGAGTAAACAAAGAAAATATGACAAAAGTTATATAACAAATAAACAAAGAAGATATATAAACACAACAAATGCCCAGTTATGTGCAGCAAAAGGCAATAGAAAATTCTAAAAAAATTTAATTACAGCAGAATAAGCAAAGATACAAATAAAAGTACTCTATAAGAAATTAAAACAGTATAAAGCAGGAGAAATTATATATACAGTACTTATACTTAGAAAGAGAAATAACACAGAATATCAACAAGCAATATAGTAGAAAAATGATTCAACTAAACATATTATATATAAAGAAATAAACAAAACTATAAGAAGCCTAAATACAACAAAAAGACCAAGATGGATTGCACATAACAAAGAAAGACAAGCTGCTAAATATATAAAGCCTAAACTAGAACTAGAATGATAAAAAAAACTAGATAAGCAAAGTAGATATCAATGAAGGCAGCATAATAGAACAGCATTACAATCACTAATACTGTACTTTAAAGAATCTGTTGAAACATTTGCAATAAAAAAAATACATAAAGAGAGAAAGAATTAAAAAGAAAAATTAAAAATGCAAGTTCAACAGAAAGCAAAAATCTTATAACAAAGATAACAAAAAGATAAAAAAAAAAGAAACATCTAAACAAATATTTATATAGAAAAGGAAACTTTAAATAAAATAGTAGAAGAATTAAAACCAAAAATTTTAACAACAACTTTGTAGAAAATAAAGGTCTAAAAAATATAAAAACTAAAACCTGCAAAGAAATATAATAAATAGATAATAGAAATTGTATATCAAGCAAGTTTGAAAAGCACACAAAACAATATTAAAAACTGGAAAAAGAGGAAAAAAAAATTATTAGTTGAATGGATTAGATGGACTAGAACTCCAATAAATACTTCTATAAATAGAAAAAATCTCATATAAAATATAGTAACAAGAAAAGCAGCAGAAGTAAAGAATTAAAAAGAAAAAGAAAGATATTGTTTTTTTTTTTAATATTAATGGTGAGGCCATGCCTCTATCTTTATTGAATATTTAATTGAGATCATTACATAAAGCACTAATCTACTTTTAAAATATTATAAGAAGAATAGAGACTCAGACTAATTTATCAGCGGCCTAAACCAACTGGAGTAGCCAAAGCTTACCTAGATTTGGGTATTAGTAATAATATAAGAAAGATTGGTTTGGTATTTGATCCAATATATATACTAAGAATTTATCTTGGAGTTAATAAAAGTAAAAGAAAGAGGTTAGGATATGTGCGAAGTAGAATTAAAAGGTAGGTTATCTGTAGAAGAATGAGCAGTTGATCTGGAAATACAATAGGGAATCCAGATTTTATGATAAACGTGTTGATTAAGATGAAGTAGAAATTTGATAACAAGTGTTGCAGCTATTTTTTGGGTTGATAAGTTTGAAACTGAAGTGATAATTTCATTTAGCACTAGGCCAGATAGTGTTGAGAAGACTGAAGGTGTATTTGATATATTGTATATAGTCATGCAGTATAGTTGTTTAATCTCATAATGCAGATTTGTTATAATATCATCAGTAGTATCAAGTGTGGTTGTGTTAAGAGTATGTTGTAATGAATCATCTATTAGATTGAATAGTAGCTGGTCAGATGGACAGGTTATTCAGTAAAAATGAGAGCTGATATGATGGCATTGATAGCAAGTAGGTGAATATGAATTATATCATTTGTGTAAAATATATGAAGCAGAGAGTTCATCTAGTAAGATTTTAATCCTAAAGGACTTGAGAGCAGAAGATTGAAAACTGTATGAGAAGTTAGAAATTTTTTGATTGTTGTTGATATATAACCAAGTGGCTTGCCAATTAATTTGGTTAAAAATTTTGTTCTATTTTTGAAAACGGTTTTGTGTTATCCATAATGCATAGATATGAGCATAGTATATTGTACAGATACTATAGTGAGTAGGTAACTCTAAAGGAGAGCTCTCAAAAGTTAGAGTATAAGATGAATTGTAA